ATTTCGAACCAGATACTGTATTGCTTAATAAATAAGAACATTTTATTTATCTATTTCTTGACATATCAGCTACGCTTACTATTATTTTTAAAAACCGTATTGAAACCTGTGAGGCATGAAAACTGAGATTTGTCATCACGAAACCAAAAACGTGAATTTTTTTATCTAAGGCTTAAAATTAGTCAAAATATGAGGAGGAAATAGCAGTCTGAAACCAAACAGCTGTTTCATTTTAACATGTTAGTACTAAAAATCAAACATTATTGAAGTGGTTTAATTCTCAAGTCAAAATACTCACGTGAGCTCGCTAATACAATATTTCAAACCGCGACTCTAATAAATTCAGTCACGTTTTTTCTTCTCAAACAACTGTGACTCTGAAATACATGCTAACTTTCAGAAATTGTACAGTGTAAAATGCTTTTAATAAAAACACTTATATGAGATTTTCAGAACAAAACTGAAGAGAAAATGTTATCTAATTTTGAAACTAGTCATGTCTATGTACTAACATCTTCAGTGCTTGAACTAGCTCAATAAGACTTCAAAGCTTGTTTGTTTACAGTGTTAGGTCAATGATCAATGTTTGTTCAAATTCTCATAAAAGTCTATTTTTTAATTAACTAAGATACCTCTAGACATTATTTTCATTAAAAAAAGAAACTTTATAAAATAGATGGAACGTGGCTAGTAGTGGAATTCAGGACCTACTTGGGACTCATTGGATGTATGCATCGCCACCCCAGTGTTGATGTTTACACTGGGACTTCAACCCAGTATCTTTCGCTTCAAACCCCAACACGTTATTCACTGAGTTACGAAATCCAGATAACCGCTCACTTGGGCAACGAGTATGTTATTTACATCGTTATTAGAATGACTTTGAATTATCCCATCGCTGAAACTGTGCCAACCAATATTGATCAAATTCAGTAAACATTATCACCAACGGCATAGGTCAAACCCATTCTGATAATAATGTAAAAATGAAATTATTTAAAAGACGACTTAAAACCAAGGACCACTCGACAACTGATTCAGTCAAGTTCCTGACTCAACAGAAGTACGAAACAATGGTCAGATAACGGATTAAAAACATGACCTACATAATATCACGTAACCTATCAGTCGATGCACAGTGTACAATATAGCCAATGAATTACTATATCACTTCTTACTGGTCTATTAATGAAAACAAATTTCAAGTTATATAAATCCATTCGTAAAATAACACCTTAACCTTGGTAAACAAGAAAATGTTTAAATAACCGGTAGATAAATTTACTTCATTTACGAACATATGAATATAGCTGGATATATATATATAAGGTTTCTGGTAGGTTGGTATTGATGTAACAGTCTCAACATAGTACATCAACATGTGTAAATAAAAGCACAATCTTCTAGAATATAAACTAACTTAGATGTTTATAATCACTATAATGTGAAAGGATACTCAGGATATCAATGAATACAAGTTAATTTTTTATATAAAAATACTATGGCTTATCTTGCAGCTTATCAAAATACTGTTCCTGGTATGACTACTTGCTACAATTATGGAAAAAATGTTACTTGTCACTTCTTACAATGGAACAAGACTGATATGACTGGATGTAAGCAGTAAAGGTAAGACTATATTCATGCACTTTATTTATGCACTAACCACTGATTTACAACAGATCAAATTCTAAAAATTTATATAACCATTCTTTATTTATTTCAACTTTATCACCTGGATACTACGACTATCCTCTATATCATTCATGATAATAACTTGAAACTATACTGAATGAATAACCACAACTATCATTATTCAATAAACCTTTATGCTACGAAGAGAGAAATTATACCTCACAACTCATAACTGTTGGGACAATTATAAATCTTGACATTTTCGAATTTCTAGAGAATTCTTGTATCTAGTGTTTTGTTTAGATTGATAGCAATGGATAAATGATAATGGATAGACAGCATTGGAAAATAATGGAAAAATATATTTCTTAGACTATTAAATGTAGTACAGTTCTTACTAATCATAAAATCTGAATAACAAAAATGACATATGATTATAAGTATATTGAATATATTACACATTTTCCATTGGTGAATACTATGAATGTAACAGCCGAAAAGAATACTCTGACAGTAATTCCACCATGATTTATACAAAGTAACTTATCGGCTATTAAATAATAACTTTACATGAATAGCTAGAAACAAATTATAGTTTACTATGAGAAAGCAAAGATTTTACCAATTTTTCAAATCTATCATATTAGATAAGTACCAATTCATATGTGACTCGGTTTAATTCTATCTATTTACGACTATCATAAAAATGTTTAATTTAGTTAAAACATTTTAACAATCAAGCAAAAGTCCGTTTATTATGCTCAATTATCAATTTTATCAAAATTATGTATGGATATAATCAATTTAAGAAACAAAATATATAATCTTGTCTAGTATGCTGCAATTATGTAATAATGAATTATGTAACCAAACTTATATCCAGACGAAAAGAGAAAAATTCCACCCTACACGTAAAATCTTTTTTTTACAAATAACTAACTCTAGATATTTCGTAGATATGCATAAAGGTTTAAAGTAAACAAGCTACTTAAAAAAGAAAAGTAGCAAGTAAAACTATAAAAGTTATTTGACTAGGAAGGAAGAAACTAGAAAAAACCCATTAGAAAATAAAGTATAAAATATGCGACAGTTTTTGTCTATTCCATTATATGTGTGTATCCGTTGTAAAGCATAAATCATAGTTTTAAAAAATATCTCTCCCAACCTATTCTAGTTCCTTTTTTTTGCTTTACTTGAAGATTATTAGCAATCAACATTAGACGATTGTCACCGCCCGTCCGATATTGGGCTGATGCTTAACTTATTAGTGGAATTAGTCAAATTATATTTTTTCTTTATTTATCCTAGTCCTTTAATATCTTTAGTAAAATGATATAAGTGCAGAAATATGTAAATGATACAGTTGGATTTTAGTTGCCCAGTTCAAAACGTGATCGTGCTGTTGGGACGTAACCGTTTTAGGGTGGATTTTGGTGTTTTGGAATTGCTTAACTAAAAGTATGTCATTTCAGCAGAGTAAATATACTAATGATAATTCATGTAAAACTAAGTTATGTCCAATAATAATTCAACGTCACTTCAAGATACCCTATGAAAAGAATAACTTTCTTCTGGCATAATAAATCACATTCTAAAAAGCAATGTACAGGAAAAGTCTTAATGGATTACCAGGTCAATTGATGAATATTTGCTAGGCACGTGGTACTAGTCGGTGTAAAATAAAATCACTCAACTTTATGTAGCTAATGTTAGGCCAAGATAGAGGAAAATATGAAGAAGTAACAGTTATTAGAACATAATATAACATTTTCATGATAATTTTGCTAGTTTCTAATTAAAATTGGTCCTAAAGTAATTGAAATCCCCAAGTCACAACATCTAAATCAATGAAAATGTAATGCTCAAAAGTGATTAACTTTAAAGTAAATTCCTCAAAGTTTTAATCTGAAGTCATAATTTGTCAAGTAAACTGGGTCAAGACAGCACTTCACAGGTGAAATTTGATAAAACATCGACCGATACCCGGACTCGATTACACTTGAAAAAAAAAGACAAATTAATGTCAACCTAATCGCTTGAAAATATCATACTCTTCAAAAGACGCGGAAGACCTGCTTTCTCTGCTAAATCTTATCGTAAATGGTCATTTCAACAGAATCCTAAACAGGGATGAATCGATTAGCTTATCTCACGTGTTTCCCAGTTGCCCATCACTATATTTCAGATCGTAGTGAAAATTACCGCCGACTTCTATACAACATTCACAGTACCACATAATGGAAACTTTTAATTTTCCTAAATCCAAATTTTCAGTAAATGATATTTTAAGAAAATGATGCATAAATTTTCAATAAATGTTACTTTTGTACATTTTGTCTCCCAGTCCTGAAGTCAGTTTCATAAAGTTGAATAATTTCAATTTATTGTTACTTGTAGTATAGAGATAAGTAATTTTCTAGACTCTATAACTTAAAATCAAGCGAAGAATCCGAAACTATTTAGGTTATCGACAAAACGACTGGTCAAGGCGGTCTCAAAATCACTGCACTGGCCAATCAACATCAAAAACTCATAATCTAAACGTGATTAATAATTTGAATATGCTTCTTACTGTCTTTAAATTAGTTGATAAAAAACATACTTAGTTAAGAAGCTGATTTACAATTATTAGGATCTAGAAGGACTGTTGTTACGCATTATTTATGGTATTGAAGCGAAATTTAAAATAATGCTAGCGAATTCGGATAAGCACAATTCAAACGACCATCTCACTGCTTTACTGCCATATCTACACGATTTGATTATTACGACATAAATCATTTTAAAAAGACTTCAAAAAACAAATTGATGAAAGTCATGGAATTTGAAATGGGAACACCATTTAGGTATATTAGGGCACTTATGATGACATTATGATAAATTCATTGACCAGTTCAACAAATAAACCGTGTTGCTACTACGATTTTCCAAGATAAATGCATTAACTTTAAATAGTACAGGAAGATGACAGGTTCTAGAGATCAACAGTCAAATCACTGATGAACAGCATTTGTTGTAAGCATTCAACTGAATTATAATTGTGAACAACATGATTTATTTAATAAAATTCCGCCTATAGCTCTTCTAGAGTTACTGCCGGTCCCAAGCCCGGGTAAAGGAGGAGGGTTGGGTAAGGGGTCGGCAAATCCATACCGTGGAAAAGAAATCTTGCAAAAAAAAACGCCAACCACAATGAAATAAACAAATATCTAGTATGAACCTATAGTAGAGAAAAGGAAAAAACATGTCATCGAAGTTTACTGAAGCTTCTATTTCTTTTCATTGCTTTTCCTTAAGTCAATAATAACCATAAGTCGATAAACGATAATTGATTATTTGAAAGGAAAAAGGATTAATGAACTTACTGGCTTTGCATGGGTCAAGCCAATTGCTTTCTGGATATAATATGGCCAAATCTTTCTCTGGCTCAAATTTTAGTGACTTTGGTATAAAATAGTTTATTTTTTCATGTAATCTTTCAACGAATAATGTGTTCTTTGATATGTTATGATCTTTGAAAATCTTTTTGTGCGTCGATTTTGAATTTGTTTGAGGTACATTAGAAAATCTACTATTATGATTATTAGTAGTATTAATATTCATTTTGTGCTTTTTGACTTTGTAATTATGTGGTTTCTGAAAATATGAACTATTATATGATTGAAATTGATTCTTGATTAATTGGCTCCCTGAAACAGATGGACCAGGATGAATGTAATATACTTTCGGTATATTTATTATTGTTTCTTCAGTTACATGTGGATTCAGCCAAACCAACTGTATGTTTACAATTAAATGTACAAATGCATTTATTAAGATAAAGAAATGATCAACAGGAAAATTCATTTGAATAGTAGTGTATTCAATATATTTGTGTGTGTGTGTGAGAGAGATATAAATTCCGGTACAAATTGGTTAATAAAATCTTGATTGCAAACTGAGCATAAACTCAGTCATCAGTACCCTCTCATTCTAAATAGTTTTTTTTTTATAGTTGATTTCTAATCTATTTACTTGTGGATACACTGACTTATCTTTATAATTATTACTGATAAACTTGAAGGATATATGGAGTCATCGAACAATTTACTTGGATGCATCAACTATTAGAAAGCAGAAATTTCAGTACATATAAAATAGCTTGCTTTAGGATCATTTTCGGACTTCATAATTGTCGATGAATAAGCGCATATTGATTAACTGATATGTGTTGTTATCTTGATTTCAGTCAATACAAAACTGTACAGAAACAATTTTGAGATTCGATGAGATAATGCTGTTAGAGTTACGTAGGGTATTATCGTCAAAAGGTCATAATTTATGGCATTGACCAATAGAGTTACTATCTCGAACCTATCACATATATATATATATATATATATATATATATATATATACATAGTGGACTTTAGACACACTGCCTACACACATTTATACGTATGTTACAGGCTTACAAGTCAGGCTCCCAATCAATCGTAGATTTTTAAGTTTGCATTATTTGATTGTGTATACGTACGTGTATACACCAGTAGTGTATGGCAAATTTTTTATTTCACTCAACACACCCAATAAACATGTGTGTACAAAGACAGCTGACGCATATCAATTGATATTATATTATAATACTATAGGCCTTAATATTTGCTAACAATTCATTGAGTTCTTAAGAATACAAATGTTCATGTATTTGTACAGTACAACATCTCAAAGATCGGTACAAATGAAAACTTAACTACAAAGAAAATGCTTGAACATATTGTTTTATGATGTCTTCATTTTTCTCGCAACCATGTATATCAGATTATTGGTTTTTATATTCATGAGATAAAACAAGTGTTATCGACATTATGAAATGAGTCACATACGGTCTAATGTTATATAATACATAACTTCATTGTAGTGTTTTATCCTAAGATGTTAAGTTATAGAAGTTGAGGCGATCGATTCCTGTCTATGGAATCAGTTTCAACTTGGAATGCTAATATTTAGAGAACCATTGAATATCAGGGTAAATTGTTTCGTTCTACTACTCAAGTTCTTTAAATTGAACAACAAAGATTTGTCATTCAATCGAGTTTCGGGATTTCAAATTTCAGGGAAAAGCACGATACCATTCAATAATTGTGAAGTGACCAGTGTATTGTTTGTCTAGTCCTTTTAGTGCTGATCGAACTTTATTCATTAAGTTGCAATATCACCATCAGTCTAAGTGACTTGACATTTCATGAGCTATGTTGAGATATCAAGTGATTGGAGCTGCGAAACTGAGTAGAACAGCATAAAATCATTCAGAGAGCTCAAGTTCCCTCAAGATTACAGATACAGCTTACTGACGAGTGTCGGATAGCTGGAAATATAGGATGAGGGTGCGCAATCGACTACCGTTAACTGTTTAACAACTAATATTCTTGAATAGATTACTTTTTGATGGAGAATTTCCATTTGTGTTTGGACGAAGAATATTCTTTTCGATAATTCTCTTCAGGTTCTACAATTATATATCCAAATTAATAATCCGAAAAATGGCCAGGTTAAGGGCAAAGTACATCGTTTAAAGCATGTGAATTTAGGATTGTGATAAACAAGATACAATAGAACTGTTAATGTTGATATGACCCATGCAGAATGTTAACTTGAATCTGCGTATATGTTAAGTGGAATTTTAAGATCCATGATCAGAGTAAATATGGTTCAAATAGGGTGACCTAATTTGATTATGACCTTTCTCAATCAATTGTATTGTCTATGTTATCTTTATTCATAAATCTTCGCGTTATTATTATTATCATTGTTATTATTATTATTATTATTATTATTATTCGTATTATTGGTTAAACATCATTAATCTCCACTATACATGATTCATTAACTTCGCATTCATCCCTCCGTATTACGTCTTATTTATTTGATCGAATTGTAATTGCACTATTATTTCTTTCTCACCCTATTTGACCCATATTTACTCTGATCATGGATCTTAAAATTTCACTTAACATATACGCAGATTCAAGTTAACATTATGAGTCATATTAGCATTAATAATTTTATTGTATTTTGTTTATCACAATCCTAAATTCACATGCTTTAAACGATGTACTTTACCCTTAACTTGGCCATTTTTCGGATTATTAATTTGGATATATAATTGTAGAACCTGAAGAGAATTTATCGAAAAGAATATTCTTCGTCCAAATACTGGTCTTTTAACAGTTCACATTGTTATGATCTAGGTCAATCAAAATCAATTATGAATATCACTTAACGAAAAGTACAAGCTCACACATTTGGTAATAAACATAATGATTGCACGTGTTAGTGTATATTGTGACTTCGTATATCAGTCTATAATATTCTTGAGTTTGAAGTGATGATAACTGATTTTGATTCCAGCTGAAACATGAACAACAGAATACAGTTACGTACAGCTTATAGGTCCTAAACAAATGAACTGTGAGTTCTAGATTTGATTGCTAACTATCATCCAAAGCATAATCAAGCCGCTATGTTGTAAGACTGCTTAAAATATAGGCCACGTCCAGCTTGCTTCAAATGTCAAGAAAAAGTTCATTCTACGCAATACAATTGACTTTTAGGTGCTAAACATGCATAAACTATGTAATATATGTCTATGACATTTTTTTCAGATATTAAAAGATATGAGACTAAGCTATTATTATTATTATTATTATTATTATTATTATTATTATTATTATTATTATTATTATTATTATTAGAGTTAGTTGACATTTAGCAAACCGATGATCAGAGATGAAATTTAAAAGTACAAAATCACTCATGATTATTTACTTCATTCAACTGTAACAATGTCCAACAAACTAATATCATATATTTACCAATACGCAACATAAAACAATTATAAAAACACTATACTAACGATCTTTAATGAATCGAACAGGTTTACTATAGTTACTTTAAGAATTTGTCGCGAAACTCAAAGAGCCAGTGAAGGATTTCATGTATTGTATTTAAAAAATACTTAAAAATTGTCTATATCTAATCCTTAAAGTACTTAAGATTGGTAGAAATATCTTTTCGTTAACCACATCAAGAACATGATGTGATAAGTTGACGAAGTTACAAGAAATACCTACTCCTGATGCAGATTGTGTTAGGTCCTGAGAAACATAATGAATGGTAACTTTGGGATCCTTTTATGAACCAATACTAAACGTATATTTTTTATCGTATAATTGTTAAATAACTAAACTATTTATATTCATGTTCTTCTTATTATAAGCTTATTTTTTACCCCTGGACCATTATTATATGTTTTACCATTCTTGAATTATGCCCTGTCTATTAGTCACTGCCCTCTAATCGGCGGTCACAAGTTATAACAGATTGTATCTGAGAGTACTTGATATGATTCAATAAGTAGTCAAAGATGATTCTGTAAGTAAAAAAGTAATCCTATCTTTACACTTTCAACAATTACACACTTAACCTTCACACTTCTAACCCTGGTACTGCTAATCGTAATACCTAACCCTCCAAAATCTAGCTACTAACATTAATATAACTATGGTTAAACTTTTAATGTCTAACCCCCACCTAGTTTCATTTACCATCATAAATAACTCAACATGTTAGAGTTCATTATTATATCCCAATTGTTTATCCTCTGCAATTTTATTGTTTTATTTTTAAGTTTACATTAATATTTACTTGGTGAATATTTAAATATTTTTTCTGTATTTACAAATTTAGTATAACAAATGCTTTATGAGATGATTTATACTCATAATACTAATCACTAGTTTGATATCTTTATCAATATCAGAAGCGGTTTTGTGGAGATTTCTAGAAATTTCAATAGTTGAAATCATATGTAAATTGAAGCTAGACCACCATGGAAAACCTGGAAGCGCGAGAGTGATAGGTCTTGAGTTCGATCGTGGATGCGCACTGCTGAGGAGTCCCATAGTAGGACTAAACAGCCGTCCATTCAATATTATCTAGTAAGAGACTTGTTACATTTGTAAATATTTCATAGCCTTAAAACCAAAAAAACGAACATATAGTTTTCTGAAAACTGAAACTTCTATGCTAATTACTTGTTCTGTTTTTGTTTGTTTTCTTTTTGTCGTTTGTTCCTGTTTCTTATTTCAATGTCACTCATTTGAATCAGAAAATGTTCTTCTTTTATTATTATTTTTTTGAAAAAATATCGAAATTAAATGGGTAAGGTAACCTGTAGAAAACATATTTTGTAAACCAGAATTCATATTTGATAGTAAAACAAAAAATATTTAAAGTAAATAAATAAGCAAAATAATATTTTTCGAAAGTAAGTAAAAGTTATGATGTTTAGTGGGAAAATCTTTTTCTGTCTTTGATTTTTACCGAACAGAGAATCATTGGAATGAAAGAAAGATGTACATATTCATTATTTTTGTTTAATGCATAGAAATGACACTAGCTGGAGAACTATTTATAGTTGAAAAAAAGAGCATTGGTAAGCTACTTTATCTGCTTTAGACTCACTAAAAAGGGGAATAGAGAACTCAAGTCAATGTTGATTCTCCCGGTTGTCCACATTATCTAGACATTCCATATACCTATATTAATTGTTGCTCTGGTTGTCAGTAGAGGTATAGGTTTAATGACTGTCAAAGAAACTCGGCTTTCACCATGAGGCTTCATAATTCTTCTGAATGAATATCCTTCAACTCAGAGGTCACAGTTTAAATTGTTTATTCTTGCTAGCGCTTTTTAAGCATGGTTGTTTTCCACGGGATGGAGTTATTAAAGTTATACCAAATCCTCTTTCTTTACCCAGGCTTAGGACTTGCAGTAACCACAGAAGAGCTACAGGCTGAATAAAGCCAATACATGATTGGAATAAATATTTTTTGTAAGGTCAAAGTCTCATTGAAAGTTATTATTATTATTATTGCAAACAATTAATTTCACTGCATAGTGTTTATAAATAGATATCTATCAATGATCAAATAAGAGCCTATTTTAAGACAGTTTAATCATTTCCATATACATATGAGACGAATTATTTCACCAAATATCTTATTGTACATGTCCTTATCCTTACTAACATTTTACTTTTG